GGGGGGGGGGGGGGCTGCCCTTCTTTACTCCTTTGGGGACAGAGCCCAGCCTGGAATATTGAAATGAGGTTTTACCAAAGTAACAGAGCTAGTTCATCGGGCAACCTCGGGCCATGAGAGTCACCCCATTTTATTTATTGATTTATTGATTTTTTTTTAGAGAGGGCGGAGAGGGCAGAGGGAGAGAGAAATATTGATCAGTTGCCTCCCATAGGCCCTTCAACCGGGGATCCGACCTGAAACCTGGGTATATCCTTTGATGGGGCATCGAACCCTCCACCTTTTGGTGTACAACATGACTCTTCAACCAACTGAGCCACACTGACCAGGGTGTGTCACCCCATTTTACTAAGGAGGAAGCTGAAGCTCAGAGAGGCCAAGCCATTTGCCTGAGATTGCACAGCTAGTGAGATATCAATTCTGATCTGTTTGATTCCAAAACTCAAACTCTTTCCAGATCACCTCACAACCCCTCTCTGGGCCTCAGTGCTCCTGTCTGTAAAATGGGGGGACTGGGCTAGGTGGTGGCTAAGACCCTTCCCCCCAATGCCTTGTAGCCTATGTGCAAAGTCGCCTTCCCTGACCCTCTCCTCTCCAGGAAGAAGGGCCTGGTGTCAGGGGCCTTAGGCTACCCCTCCCTGATTCCTCCATCCCAGGAGGACGGCTGTCGCTCTGGAAGGAAATCCTTGGGAAGGTTTCTTCCAGCTGGGCCATGTTCCCCTCCTGCCCTCAGGACAGAGAGGTGTCTGAGGAGAGCTGAGGCCAGCAGCCCCAAGGGCTACCTCTGCCCCTCACAAATCCCAGAGTGCCTCTTGGATCTGCCCTCTCCTCTCTGTTCCCACTGCAGTTCCTCTGCTCCAGGCAGGGCCGTTGCATGGCTGGCTGTGCAGGTTGAGCCATGCAAGACCCTGAGGTGTTGCATCACACAGAACATGATGACGGTGGTGCCATGGATTTGTGCAATCTCTATTGTGTCCCTCCTTGGCTCTTATGACCTCTAAAAATGATAAGTGCTATCATGTCACCTGCCCAGCTCCTCTGAAAACCTTCAGTTTTCCCCAGTCTTAGGATGGAGTACAGAATCCATGACTAGGCCTGCAGGCACCGCTATGTGACTGGGTCCTGCCTCCCTCCCTATGTGAGCCCTCTCCCTCCCATGCTGCACCTGGGCCTCCCTGAGAACTCTTTTGACCAGCCCAGCAGCAGCAGCCTCAGTCCAGGGTTGTGCTCTGCCAGGTCCTGCAGCGCACAGACACACACACACACACACACACACACGGCTCAGAGGATGAACTCAGGATTTGTCCCAAGGATAGTCCTAAACCCAGAAGGCTTCATTCTCTGAGAGATTCCAGTGCAAGGAGATGGCAGAAAAGTGAGAATGGGACCCCCAACGAGGGCCTCTTGATGCCACTGATCACCAAGGCTCCCAGAGTTTGGTCTTGGTGGGAGGAGCTAATGGGGTTGAGGGGACTCTCCATGAGGATGTCCTGAGGCCCCACAGCCCCCTGAGGCAGGGCAGGGGAGGAGGGGCCGGCCCTCTCTAGATGTGGGCACCCTGGAAATGGGAGGGAGGGGCAGTGACATCTGCACAGCGGCCTCTACAGGGGTGAGAAGGGCTGTCAGGGTCTCTGCTACCCTGTGAGCCACCCGGTGGGGCGTGGCCGGGCAGGGGCACCGGCCTCCCAAAGCCCCCCTCCACCCTGACGCAGAGGGGCAGCAGGCAGAGCCGCCCCCTCTACCACCTCTCCAGAGATTCCTCCTCACTCTGGTTCCTTCTGTGACCACTTCAGTGCCTTGTGGAAAGTGACTGCACTGAGAGCCCTTGACTGCCCATCTACCAGGGGAGACTGAGGCCCTGAGAGGGAAAAGATGTTGATTAAGGTCACAGAGCAGGCAAGCCTAGGGCAGGTCTAGGACAGACTCCCAGGTCTGGGCTCCTCATGCGCATGTGTTCCAGAATCTTCCACAGCTGGGAGAGGACAAGCCCTCTCTCCCTCTGTCCCGTGTCTCTCAGCCTTCCTTATCTTCCAGGGACAGGGTCAAACCCCTGTCTTGGATGGGCATGCTGAGGCCCACCGCCTGGACTGTGGGTGTCCATTGTCCCTGCGTCAGCAGCCACAGGGGCGTTGTCTTCACAGTCAGCTGCCCCATTTTTCCCGAAGGCTGTGGCAAGAGCAGTCCCCAGGTCCCAGCTGCCTGCTCCTCTCTGGACTCATGGCCCCCACAATTGCATTTGCAACTCAGTTGAGCGCCTTGCCAGCTGCCAGGTCTCCTGCCACTTATGATTTCAGCTAAAAAAATGAAATAAATGTGGAGAGGAACACCTCCTCCCGTCCGTTGCCAGGAGCAAGCTGAGCTGGCGGGTGGCAGGGGCGGAGAGCTGGCTCACTGCTGATCTCATTTGGGACGGCCAGCGGAATCGTGGCCCCATAATCCAATCACCCTAATCCAATCCCGCTCCGCCAGGCAGCGAGGTCGGTCCTGGACTGCGGGCTCTTCCCCAAGCTGGGGCCCAGGCGAGGGGCCTGGCCGAGGGGGGAAAGGACAGAGAGGTTGTCTTGGGCCAGCAGGACAGGATGGGAGGTGGACAGGGAGCTAAGATGTCAAGGAAGTAGGAAGACAGATCTTCCTTTGAATGATCCAAGTCTAATAAGGGAGTCTAATGAGGGAGGAAAGACGGTCCCCAGGAAACAGACAGAGGGGAGAACTAAGATACGGAGCAGGCCCTCGACATGACTTAACTAAAGCCTCACAGCAGCCTCCATTCACCCCTCCCTCTGCTGTTACTTATCCAGTCCTGACTGTGCTGGGGACCCAACGGTGAGTGAAACCATCACCCAACTACAGTGAACAATACACCACACTCTTCCAGGCACCATTCTCAGTACTTTAGGTGCATGAACCCATATGATAGTCACAACAGTTTTAGAAGGTGGACACCTCATTGCCTACGCTTTATAGATGAGGAATCTGAGTCCCAGAGGCAAAGAGTAACTGAGAGATTTTAGCACAGGAGCCCCATCTAGTCTCTGGGGCCTGACATCTGGACTGATATCTGAAGGGTGAAGGGAAGACAACCAAGTCAAGAGGAATTCAAACCTAGGGGACAGCAAGTGCAAAGGCCCTGGGGCAGGAAAGATGACAGATGGAAGAATGGGAAGAAGACCAGCACTTCTGTGGTGCACAGAGCTTTTTCACTCAAAGGGGAGAAGTGTGCAGATGGGGCCTGGAGAAATACATAGAGGCCTTGGGATAAGAATTTAGGACTTCATCCTAAAGCCAGGATGGGGGGGATTATTTTCCCCATTTCCCAGGTGAGGGGCAGTCAGACAGATAAAGGTCACAAAGCCAGTAAGAACTGAAGCGGGGTACAAACTCCAGCGGTTCCATCTGGTCTTCCTAAAGGTCCTGGCAAGTTGCCTCCCTTCAGATATGAGACAACCACACACAGAGAGAGGCAAACAACAGATCAGGCATCAGAATTTCTTGGGGAGCTTGTGCAAATACAGACTGCTTGGTCCACCTGGGGTTTCTGAATCAGTAGGCCTGGAATGGGGCCCAATCATTTGCGTTTCTAGCAAACTCTCGGGTGGTGCCAATGCTGCTAGTCCAGGGATCTCGCTTTGAGAACCACTGGAATGGAACACAGAGTACCTTAGACAGAGAGGAGATATAGCTTCCAAACCCAAGGTGCCAATCCAGGGAGGCTTCTTACAGAAGTGACCACAAGGACAGCAATCTCAGACCAGTGAAGACTCCCCACATTCAGCTCATACGTGTCAATCCATGTCTGGCCATTTCTGTTTGGGGAACATGGCCCTCACTTTCCCAAGACTCCATCCTCTGACCTTGCCTCTCCCCTAGGGATGGACCCCTCTCGGAGTTACCCGCTGTGGTACAAGAACACAGTGTCCCTGTGGATCCTCTTTGGGATGGCGTGGCTGGCCCTGATCATCAAACTGATCCTCTCCCTGATGGAGACCCCAGGGAGATCGCACTGCTGCTACCGCCACAGCTCCAAGGGGGATCTCAAGCCCCGAAGCTGGAGGCAGGGCCCAGATGGAGAGGCAGAGCCCCGCTCCCCACAGCCGGGCTTTCCGGAGGGGCCTGCGGGGGCCACGCAGCATTCGGCACCCTCCGCTCAGGTCTCCTGCTGTGGAAAGGACAGCTAGTTATACTGGCATATTCCCTACACCTTCTTTCTCAGCAGTAAGACCCCTCATTTTAATCTTGGCACATGACCACCCAGACTAAAGACTACATTTTTTTTTTTTATGTCTTCTCTTGAGACAAGGTGCAGTTTTTGATTAAATTCTGCCCAATAGGATACATAAAAAAGTATCCTGTGTGACTTATGAATGTGAGTGTCAACTGGGGGAGGAGCAGTGTGTGCTCTTCTTCCCCACTTCCTTTTATTTTTTAATCTTCACTCAAGGATGTTTTTATTGATTTTAAAGAGAGAGTGAGGGAGCGAGACAGAGAGAAACATCAATGTGAGAGGAAAACATCAATCGGTTGCCTCTTGCATGTGCCTTAACGGTGGATCAAACCTGAAGCCTAGGTATGTGCCCTGACCGGGAATTGAACCCACCACCTTTTTGGTGTATGGGACGGTGCTCCAACCAACTGAGCCACCCGGCCAGGGCCCCACTTTGTTTTTTCAGCTGGCTGCAATGCTGATATAGTGGCTGGAGCTCTGGCAGCCATGTTGCACCATGAGGTAAAGGCCATGTTTGATATTGGTGGCACAATAAAATAGGAAGAGCCTGGATTCCTGATGCTTACAGACACACCATAACAAACCAGGACTAACTATCGCCAGACTTCATTTAGAAATAGATGTAAATCTTACTCAAAACACTATTATTTGGGTTTCTCTGACACTCACAACCAAAACTAATTCTAATTGTCACACATGTACCCAAGATAAAGGCAGCACCTGAGACGGGACCGTACACAGAGAAGCCGCTTCCTCTGCAGGTGCGTGTGCCCAGGGCTGGTGGAGGGAATGGATTGAGCGCTAGAGTGTGGCCCCCCTACACCTGCAGAGACCTTCCAGGTAAACTCACTAAAGGTTTGCTGAGATCTCTCACTGCTGTTGCAGCCAGCAGGTGGCTGGTCCCAGTTTGGCTGCTGACTCCATGCTCTGTCATTCACTCACACCACAGAAAAGCCAGAGGCAGATCAGTGGGCTCCTCCTGCCTCCCCCACCCCACTGCATCTGAAGGCTCCACCACGGTTTGCACAGCCAGGTAGGGTTTGCAGGGGTCATTTCTTTTGCATAGCATCTTACCTGAGCATTTCCATCTCTCACTCAGGATTGCTACCAATCAGAGCGTAATGGTGTGATCCCCACCACAGCTTAGGTCCCCAAATCCAGTCAGGAGCCCTCAACAGTAGCAGCCAGCACCTGAGGGTCACCTGGACAGCTGGATTCTTGGCCTCAGTGGATATCCTACAGATAGCATCATAGGGGCCAGGGGCTCAGGTGGCCCCTCCCCATGGACAAGCCCTTTAGCATCGGGGCCCTCCTGGAACTGGGCCAGAGGCAGCCTTTTAGCTGAGGAAAAGGGAAGAAATGTTACTCCATCCAGCGTCCGCCATCGGGCTTGGGCCTAAGTGGGACCAAGGCCAGACACAGGGGCAAACACCAGCGAGTAGAGAGGGCTCAAGCCCACTTCTTAAGGCCCACAGGCTGAGCAGAGGTAAAGGGAGGTGAGGAAGAGATTGTAGAAGGTATGGAAGTAGCATCCTTTGCACTTAACACACTCCAGAAACAGGGCTTAGCAATTCAAAGCTGGGAGAGGGAGGGGCCGGCATTCTGGGTTGGCCTCTGTGGTCCCAACTCGCCTTGAGCCCTCTCTCCTCACGCCTGGCCTCTCTGGACAGGGTCCCTGTCCCCCATCAAACCCTTCCCCTTATGCACAGCACTACTCATGTTCAGAATGCCTGCTCCAGAGGTAACCTACCTGTGGTGATGGGGAGGCAGAGAAAGGCTTCTGGAGTGGGGGAGAGTTCCTAAGAAGCCATGTTTGGAGCTACCTGGAGAGGTCTGAGCCTGGGAAAGGCACCAGAACAGAGAATCAGACCTCTGGGCAGAAATCAGAGAACAAATTGGGCAGTGAGATACTCCCCTCGTAGGCAAGGGTGGGGGGGGAGTGATGATGGCATAAGAGCAGCCTGAGAGAGCTGTCCTACAGTGTGCCGGCAGGAAACAAAGTCATTCATTCATTCATCCATTCACTCATTCACTCACACAGCCTCGCCAGGCCACCAAGGAGGAAGGAAAGGGGCCCCCTCGGAGCAGCTGAGTGTGGCTGTTAAGGGTGCAGAGTTCGGAGCCAGCCTGCCTGGCTCACCACCTCGGTGACCCTCGGTGAATCACTTCAGGGCTCTGCTTCAGTTTTCTCCTCCCCAAAATGGAGAAAAGTCAGGGCTGACCTCCCAGGATTAAATGGGCACGTGTGTGAGTCCCAGAGGAGTGTGCATCCGCCCCGAGGAAGCACAGGGTGCATTTCAGCTGCTGGACACTCACAGCCGCCCCGAGGACCAGGCAGGAGGCAGACACTGCGCAGCCAGGCGGCGTCTCAGCCGACCCCTCCCGGGGCTCCGACGGGCCAGGCAGACTGGGCTGAGCAAGCGGTGATGCGGGACTGGATGAGGGTCCGGACGCATGAGTCACGGGGACACCTCCTGGCAGAGACCCAGCAGTGCATGCGAGGTGGCAAAGGCAGGGCCACTGCAGCTCCCATGATGCCGAGGGGCAGGCGGGCCCCTCACACCAGCAGCCGCCTCTGTCCTTCCTCCCGGACAGGCTGCCCAGCTCCGTGGCTTCAGCGCAGCCAGGGCAGAATCAGGCCCAGTGTCACATGATGGTTTCCTTTAAAACAGTGTCATCTTTTATCATCATCATCATCATCATTTCCTAACATTTATTGGGTGCTTATAATGTATCAAGCCCTGTTCTGTGCTCTTGACCTATACTAAATCATTTACTTCTCCCATCAGCTCTGTGAGAAAGGAGCTATTATTTTTAATGCAGTTTTAAGATGAGAAAAATGAGATTTTGGGTGGACTTTAAGACCAAAGGTCACCTGTCCCCGTGGGTAATCAGGAGGGCTGCTGCAGCCCTCTGGCAGGAAGACCAGTGCCCAGCTTGGGGGGCAAGAGACACTTCCTCTAAGCCTTGTGTGACCTTGACCAGCCTCTCCCCTTTCTATGCCTCCTCACCTGTAAAATTTCAGGGAGTCTGAATTTTACTACTACTCCCTCCGCTTTTGTCTGGATTGTTCTAATTGACCACATTTCAGGGAGGGCAGTTCCCAGCCCCACCCATCTTTTAGGGGCCGCCTTAAGCATTTGGATCCGAGGAGGTGTTTGCTCACACACACACAAACACAGTTCCCCAGGCCCTTCCCTCATGGCCCCTCCAATCCTAAAGGCCTAACTGGGGGTGGGGTGACCATTTATTTTAGGAGCCAGGCCAGAGAAGGACTGAACTCAGTGGGAGCCAGAGGACTCCTCAGTCTGGGGCAACAGCTATGCTGAGACACCCCCATCCCCAATTCTCTTGGGCCCTTACCTCACTGTGTCCCCACCCCTGGGCCCCAGGCCCAGAGAGTGCTGCCCTGAAGTCAGCCCCTCCGCCCTCCCCAAACCACCCCATACACACAGTGCTGTTTCTGGCCCTGACCCCACTGACCTCGCTCCCCTTCCCCCAGTGCACAGTACTAGAGCCTCTATCTCCTACTCTCCTTTGCTGGCCAAAACTCATCTCCAGTTAAAAGTGTTTCTTGGGGCCAAGGATAGCGATTCCCTCCTCCAAGGAATTCTCAGCTCCTCCCTCGTGTCTTTGCTCAAGATTCTCAGCCCTTCTTCACTCCAACTACAAAATCTCTCCCAACCCCTCCAGGACTCAGGGTAGACCGAAGCCTGGAGGCAGGGAGGACGACCAGAGCTGGGTGTCCCCCACCCCAGTCATGGCCCTGTGGGGAGCCAAGGAGGCTCCCCATCCCACCAGCACTTTCTCCAGAAGTGGGAAAACAAAACCATGCAGACCGGCTCCCACCAGCCACTGACCAGTCCCCTGCCCCTGCCTGGCCCTGGGGTTGGCATCCTGTTCAGCCTTTGCCCACAGTCCAGCTTTTCCACATCTTCTCAGACCAACTTTTACCTCATTTATTCTTCCCTGGACGTAGGCAAACATGAATTGGTATCCTGACTCTATCACTTGCTTACTGTGCAACATTTGAGAAGCCACAAAACCTCTCTGAGCCTCAGTCTTCTCATCCTTAACTTGGAAACCCTAATGTCAACCTCAGGAATGTTTGGATGAATATGGGGGAGTGAGTAATGGATGAGAAAGCACCCGTGTTGTATCTGGTACAAAATCGAGCTCAGAAATATTTGTTCCCCTCCCTTTCCCTTCTTCTTGACTGAAGCTCTCCCCCCGACCCCCACCTTTTTGCATCTCTCCCTCTGAAGAGACCTCCTGGACCCGCCTGCTCTTTGGCCTCCAGTGGACTTGGGAGGGGCAGGAAATGAGGTGGAGATGGAAGGAATAAATTTGCCAAAGCTCTGGGAGGCGAGGAGATAGCCTGAAAAGTGAGAAAGCTAGTGTGTGTCTTGGAGGAGCTGCTCCCCATCCGCCCACTGGCCAGAGCCTCTGGGGTCAGGTCACTGCCCCAGGGGGAGGGGCCAGAGGGGGGGGTGTGAGCTTCAGCCTTACTCAGCCTATTAATCCCTCTCTGCTCCCTCTCTCTGTTCACTCCCTGACACGCTCTGAACCCCTGGACCCTCGGGTGGGAGGCAGGTGCTAACCCCCACGGACTGAGTCACCCAGGCTCCTTTGGTCGTTCACTTCTGACTTGATTAGGCCCAAGAGGGAAAGTGATGGGACAGCAGGCGGGGAGAGAGCCAGGTTATGTGCCCCTTTCCCTGCAGGCCCTGGTTTTGGCAGTGGCCATGTTCCTTGTCTAAGCGCACAGTGCCTGTCCCCACAGCCCCTTTTTCAGGGTAGCAGCGTTGGCTGGGTTCTAGCAAGAGCCCTCCCTTGTTCTGAGGCCTAGGGGTGGTAATGACTCCCCACTGTGGCTAGTACCTGGGAGTCACCCCAGGCTTAGACCTGCCTGCACTCTGTACATGGGCCCTTCCTTATATTCTCTGCAGTTAC